AAGGAAAACAGGGAAAATATACAGCATTTAGATTAGAATTAGGGTAGTTAAGAAAATCAGAAAATTAAAGTTTGTTAAAAATACTGTAAACCAAAGACTAAAGCAAACTAGCTCTACAATAGTAACATACTAGAACACTTTTTGGTTTCCATCCTTACATAGTGTTAGAGCTTCTGGCCAAAATCACCCTGCTGGACTGCCTGGAGGAAGAGGTCAGATACCATGAACCACAAAAATGGGTCAGAATCATCAATTCTGACTTCTCAGAAATTCTATTTAAGCTACAGTGCCAGTCAGCAGATACGTGGCTGTTTCCATGACTCTCTCATTTACTTCATAAAAGCAGATTAATCCCCCAAATTTGACTTCATACAATGAGAACTATGCATGAGGGAACCAGCTGACAAGCACCATGACACAGAAGAAGAGGAAGTATAAATGCAGTGAGATTCAACACAAGCAGCAAATCCAGAAAGAATTGAAACAGTAAACAAAGTAGAATTCAATTTTCAATTCACTATTTTATTACACTGGGAAAAGTCGGTGTTATAAACACACTCTCCCACATCTGGGCACCTGAAGCACCAATGAAGTTGCTTAACCTGCACCCAGATAGAAGCGCCTCAGAAACATTCATTCAATGAGCTCCTATCATTTAACAATACCAAATGCCTTAGCATTAATTCTACACTTGAAAAAAGGAAGAGAAAATCTATTCTGGACATGAGGATATATGTTCAAGCAGAGGGTGAATATGCCCTGAAAACATAAGCACAGGGGAGCAAAAGCAAGGAAGCAAAAAGATGATAAAAAAAGCTGATGAAGCAAAGCAAAAAATCCAGTGACCCTGCAAGTCTGTGAAGCCTCTGAAACATCAGGCTCTTTGCTTTGATCCCATCTTCTGCCAATAAATCAAAAAAGCCCAAGAACCCATTTGCAGATTTAGTGAGAGTTTCAGGGCCTGTGGAAAAGTCAAATCAACTTGTGGTATTCTGCTTTGCACATAATGATAAAAGCACAGCTACCCTACATGCCTTCAAGCACAGCGCAAAATGGCAGTGCCTGCAGTCTCCAAGCAGCTCCTTAGCCAGACAACATGAAAGCCAGAACACTCGTGCCAAAGATAGTTAATATGATCATATTGTATTACAGTCACTGTAGTGATATTGGGCAAATGTTATGTTGCATGAGGCTATACAATAATTGGGCAGTAATCAGTAAAAACATTAAGTCCCTGTTTTACTGCTGCTTCATCACTAGCTATAAAACAACATCCTAATAAAGAGCATATAACTAAAAGGAACTAAGATTAACAAGGCGTGTTATGGCAGTTTAGAAGTAAAAGTCACTTTAGCAATATACAATTGAACAATACCATTTAAAAGAATGAGCAGAGAAGATTTACTATTCCTTATTAAAAAAAAAAAATAATCAACAAAACGGCTATTCAGAGGGCCTGGCCTAGTTACCATAGTGTATACGTCAAACTCGTAAGCAAAGCACAGCACATCAATGCTCATCAGAAAAGCACTATATATTGGATAGCTGACTATAGCACTATCAGACCCTAATTAGATAACCTTGCATAGACAATCCTAACCACTAAGAGGAAGAAAGAGAGAGATAAACATTAGAAAAAGCTTTGACCAATATTCAGACATGAATTTTGACTGTACAAGTAGGTATATTTATGGCAGAGTCTAAGAATGATCAGACAAGCCATTAGAGAATTACAGTGGCTCCCTCCAAGTTGGTTTTTTCAGGCTCTGAATACATCACCTCATTTTTAGTAGGGTTCTGGTATCATGTGCAGTTAACGTATAATTATTACAGAACTGTGATTGCATCGTTAGCAGAAGTTTAATTATATCATTGACATTAGTGATGCCATAACATCAAGCTCAATAATAGTTCATAACAAAACCTACAATTAGCACAATTTTTCCTCCCTTTTGCACCAACCAAAAGTGTTCAGCTTGGAGAAGCCTAATAGTCCATACAGAAGTGAGCTAGGGCTGAACCTGAAAGGACTGCTGGCTGGTAATTTAGTAATATGGTAATTAAAGTCTTTTCATGATGTAATTACACATCAACTACAAAAGGACAGCTGCTATACAACACTGCCAGGGTACGTGGCATGAAATGATCAGATTTGAGAGGCTTTGGTGGTTAAACTGAATACCACAGACATAAGTCTGAGGTATAGCTGGCACCACATAGCACATTATTATTCAGGTCTCACACTTAGCGTTTCCTTAGTCTCATTGTGATAGTAACAGTTTGTTGCACGTACCTTGGTCTTCTGACAGCAGAAGCTGTTCAAAACACACCTTTAAAAGCTTCTGCTGTTTTGAAGTTTCCTGGAATTAAAAGACCTAACCTTCTTCTGGGCAGAGGCAGTACAAATGAGGTTTGCATGAACCCAAAATGTTTATTTCCCACCCTTGCAGCATGAAACCTCCTCTTACAGACTCCTGTCTGTGGGAAATGTAGCTTGATTTATTTATAGGCTTCTTCCAGTGGGGAAGCGGAGAGGGGAGAAAGAGAGTGCGGACAGAGAAGAGGCACAAATGAGCAGGTGAACTCAAAGAAACTGAAGTTCGACTGAAGAACTGAGGGTTTTGGCATCTAGTTTCAACAGCAACAAGCCTAAGTCCCTTGTTTGGGTGAAAAAACAAACCCCACCCTTCTTCCTAAGAGCGGACAAACATTTTTTTTTTAAGTAGTTTCCTTATTGCATTTCTCACCACCCTCATTTGTATCTGTACAAACCACAAAGTTGACCATGCAAGGCATGAGACAGCAAAAGGAACATATTTTTCCAGCTAACATGAAAAAAACTTCTTGGCCACATGACTGGACTCTTAAAAATACAGGAATGCACTATGCACCCTGGCAGTAGGCAGACAACCTCAGAGATGCTTTTCTAGTCCTAAAATGTCCTTTTAGTGATGAGAAGCAACTTAGATGTTTTGCAATAGCTGTTTTTCACATGGGAAGTGGGGATTTGGTGGGAGAGAGGCCCAGATCAACTGATCTTCTACACTTTAAAGCTTTTATTTTCTTGAGCTATGAAAATCTAGAAGGGGGATTATTTGAAAGTGAAAGATTTTGGGAATCCAGAGAATTCTCCTCAGCATGAGGAAGGTTTCTGTGAGGCCCCTTTGGAAAGTGCAAAACCAAACTATTTTGGATCTGGAGGGACCCTGTTCGCTAGAAGATACGAGGAATGAGTAGAAAAATTTGAGTCCTAGTTCAAACAAGACCTAGCCTTGCTGATGGCTTCCCTTCTAATTCCTGCTCTTCCTGTTTTTCTGAAGAGATGTTTTTGATGGGCTTGATGAACATTCAAAGCCTCTTAAAGACTTGGTGGCTTTAACTACAGAGGACACTTGCACTAATTCAAGATCACCGACAAAGAGTTTCTTCCCATTGGGTGTCAGAGGCTGCAATGAAGCTGAGGTTGCTCTCGGGAAGCAGAGGAGGAATCCTGGGGGAACTGGAAGCGGCCAGTCATTTAAGAACAAATGCCCCAACTACTCAGAAGTAGGTTCTGCATGGCCAATTTTACACAGCACACTTTTAAGAGACAATAAAGCAGTTTAGCCAACCCAATGGAAGAGACTCAACTGTACTTCAAATACAACAGCACAAGAAAACATGATTATTTCTAATTTAATGGCAGAAGAGCTAAAATTTAGTGCAGCTAGTGGTTCTGATGATAAGATAGATGGTCTACTGAAACATGTTTGCAGCTACCCTCTGTGAGGACTCATTTGACATTTGATACAAAAAAGATTTATTCAAGAGGAACTGGGTGAGCTATTTGCAATATAAACAGCAAAGTCAGCATACTAAGAACAATCACCAACATGAAAATAATAGGAACTTTATGCATAAAGGACTTATCTGACTTCCTACACAGTTTAAAGCAGCAAGAGGCAATAAAAATGTTAGGTTTAAACTACAAAACATTTTGCAGTTGACTGCTGTCTCTGTAAATACATTGTGCACACACAGTACAAACATGAACTGTGTGTGCACAAACGAAACAAATGCATAATTGTATCAGTTTTCACCTAAAGACAACGTAGTTCACTACCTTTACAGACTTTAATTTCTCAGCTGCTAACTAAGAGAACACAACAGCAGTCTGTATCATGCAGGGAACTATTCTCCCTGGCCTGTTTATGCAGAGCACTGCCAAAAGAAACATGTGAAGGTCTAAAGTCTTGCAAGACCAGCTTCACTATCTCTCTCTGACGGTGTTATGGGCAGAGAGTGAGAGAGAGGAAAAGAATGCAAGTGAGAGACTTCCAGTATGCTCCCAGCTTTAGCTAAATCAGCAGACAAAGAAAAAGCTTCTCATCACAAGTCTTCAAGCATCCAACTCCTAAATATAACAAAGTAACAACTCCTGAACAACAGCATTCAGTTCTGAGAAATGGACAAGTACACGAGCTACAACAGGACACAGTAAAAATCCTAAACTGTGATAGCCCCTCTCCCTCCCCTCCTCCCTGTTGCAGGAGTAGCAGTTAATTTGCTTATGGATTATTACCTTCAATTATATCAAAATCTGAGAGATAGGTGTCCTTCCAAGACTAAGGCTGAGGACAGGAGCCACAGGACTTCCTACTGAACCAGTCCAGCCCTACCAGCTGTTCCAGATGCAATCACCTTGTCAGTGTTCAACACACAATTCTAGTACACACCCAACATCTCTTCTGTTTCAATGGCTTTTTAGCACCTTTCCACTTCTCTGCAACCATCAAACCATTCAGAAACTGCTACAGGGACATAAGTGTTGTCAACTTCCCTCATTGCATCCACCACTCAACTAGATACTGGAAGCCTATCACTGCCGTTTGCATTAATTTCTGTGAGGATTGTTAAAGAAACAGAATCCTCTTGTGATACTGTTTGCAACTAAGAAACTTAGTAACATGAGATCTGGGGAGTTTGGGATGAAGGAACAGGTGGGGAGACACCACACTTACCTGCTATCACCAGCATTTGCCACATAAAGCTTCCCCAATAAATACACCACCACAAGGGCTGTGCAGCCGCCAGAAATATTATACACGGTCCTCTCTCGTTCTATTTGCAAATCCTATGGGAAAAGAGAACAAGATTTATAAAGACAGCGTTGCAATTAATGTTTTAGAAAATGAAGATTCCCCTAAAAAAATGACAGTCAGTCTTAAACTGCATGTCCCACTGTCTTTACTGTTGCAGCTCTGGCCACATGGTCAGGGAGAGGAATGGGAAGTGGAGGAGCACGTATTACTTATGATACAAAGATGTTCAGGAAAAATCAGGACAGGAGATTGTAAATCATCAGGCATCAAGGAACAAATGGCAACTCTGAGGGATGCAAGGGAATTTGCTATGGAAAAAGCACAATGAAGGCAAAGATAAATGTAGCTTAACAACAGGTACCTGGTGGCATAATTGGAGAGTGCTTTACATGGACAGGAAATAATTAATGAGACCTAGCTGTGACATGACTAACTACCTGCTCTCCAAAAGGGACGCTGGGATTGCAGAGCATATACCTTTGCAAACAGCAGCAAGGCACACTCATACTACAAGGCTACCCTTCAGAAACACAGCAAATGGGTGGATGCTAAAATTGTTAAGGGGGCAGGGGGGGAAGGTCAGTAGAACAGTATTTACTGAAGAATACTAGGCATTCACAGACTTTCCAGGATGAACTGTATGAGTCTCACCTCACTGCTTTTATGAGGTCCTGAAAAGACTTCATTTTTATGCATGTGCACAGGCCCAAATTTAAGGAGGTACGTACCCACTCAAATAGTTCTTCCTGTGTTTAGCTTCCAACTGATTCTGAGTGTAAAATATTATATATAAAAAAGCCCTCCTGCTTAATAGAAGTGGAGAACACAAGTCACACCTGTCACCAACAATCAATCAAGCCCAGGAATGAAAAATACATAAATATATGTATATGTGTGTATATATATATAGTCCCAGGAAAGCTTGGAGAACATAAAAGATACAAGTAAATGAGCTATTTTCCAGTACTCCATACATTTTAAACAAAAATTAAAGTATATGCCAATGAATTCATTCCCCTGCTTCTTAGCTTAGTTTGGGGTAATAACACAGCATGTTACAAACTACCCTTCTCTCCTGTGTGCAGAATCAAATCCAATTTCAAACTGGTTTTTCCTTGTAATACTGGATTCAAACAGGGAGCATCATTTAACATTGCTATTGCAAGTACTGGCAGATCTTTTCAGCTAAACCCTGCCTACTCGTATGTGTTTTTTATTACGAATATATTTGTTTGCCTCTGTGTGTGCATACACACACAGAGCTGTACTTCAGCCATTTTCGTATTTGCACTGAGCAACAAACAGCTCAGATTGTCCACGCCTTGGGGTATGGGATTTAGAGCTGTATTTTAGAGCTAAATTTATCTGAGGAAAAGCACCACAACAAATGCAAACCATGACAACTGCAATTTGATTGAAAATCTGCAGAGTTGGAGGAAGCCAGGGACCGCACTTTGTTTTCTACAAATTTCAGGAGAGGGAGGCGACCTGGGGCAGCAGCGGGGATGCTCAGCAGCGCTCGGCCGCTGTCCCGAGCAGGCTGGACAAAGGTGTCTGTCACAAATAACGTGGCTCCTCGCTGGCCGGCGTACATAGGGACCGATCCCATATGTGCCATGCATACAGCACCGAGGCAGGCATTTGTGGCGGGGACAGCCAGGAATGTGCAGTGCTGCCCGACAAGGCCATCCTCCGCCGTGCACGGGAACTGCACTGTGCGGCCGGAGAGACGCGGGGTTTTACTGCTGCCTCTTACCCATGCTCTCATCAATGTGTGGTTTCCCTTTTTCTTTTTTTTTTTTTTTGGCAGGGGGCGGGGAGCGGGGCAGAAGGGTGAGGACCAGGAGGAAAATACCTCTAAGCTAAAAAATCAAATCTCGCAGAACCTTTGGTCACAGACATGGGCCTGTTATAAATGCCACTTTATCTAATCTTACCATAGAGAAGCTGATTTTCCTCCCCATGGTTTCTATGTATTTTTTTTTTAAATTAAGCTGAAAAGAACAGTTCAAAGGAAGCAGACGTTTCTAACCATCAAAATAATTTAAACTTACAAATACTACAGTGGATTTTCCAGACACTGCCAGGAATTTTAAAAAACCTTCATCTCCGCAGTTCAGAGTATCCTCTGAGACCTTCAAACAATGTACCATTCCTCACCTGGTTTCAGCTCCGTCATACGTACACTTTGCTGGAATGCCTAAATTAAAATTTATTTTTTTCAATAAGCAGAATTCAGAAGCATCTATTATAGAAGAGGGATAATCCTTAGGGCCTCATTTTCAGAGTTTCCTTGACTTAAACTAGATCTGTGTACTGGATTTTTTCAAATCATTGCTGTTCATGGGCTCTTCCATCTAGTTGTTGTTCAGAACTCCAATTTACTACCATGGCTTGCCAGAGTATATTCAGTGCCATGTTTAATTTGATATTACATACTTTGTTTGACATTTCCTTTTTTGGGGGAGGGAAGGAGGGGAAGACTTTCCTACAGCTCAACAAGATTTGAGGGGAAAAAATAACCCAAAATAAAATACTGCCCACCATTGCCACTAACTCATTCTGATGTAGAGACAGTGGCTTTTAATAAAATACTTTATAACAGTGCTGCTGGTAAAATAGTGCAGCCACAAACAGGGGCAGAAAGCCCAAAATGCCTCTGAAGCCTTTATGCGTGTAAAGGGGCTCATTTTAGACAGTCTGAGTGTATACAAAGCTTTCCTCATTTTCCACCTGAGGAAAGATTTCAAAGCGAGCTTTCCCTGCACACACACCCCCTTTCCTTTTTTCCTCCTCTTTTCTGTAGCATGCAGCTCATCCCCGCACAGCAATCTGCATGCAGGGGAAGAGCTGAGCAACGCTGGGCAGAATCAAGCGATGCACCTTTCAGCACCCTGACAGAGAAAAGAAAAAAAAGGATTTCTATATCCTCTGTTCAAAAGACTATCGTTCCATGCCAAGGAAGCAGCTCATTTAGTTTGTGCTCTGCCCCCCTTTTTTAGGACGCATGTTGTAGCGGCAGGTAGGAGCGGGGTGCCCACAAGGGTTGCCTCATGCCTCGTCACCCCGGTCCCCCTTCCCTGGGTGATGGGAGCACGGCGATGGAGCAAAGCCTGCAGAGGACACAGGGTACATTTCCAGAGCGGGTGACAGAGAGCAGGGGTGGCTTCCTCCACCGACGGCAGAAGCAGCCCGAGGACATTGCA